TTAGAAAGAACATCAAAATCGAGGAATATGATTAAAGACAACGGTATATTTGCAGTATATTTTGAAAATGCAAGGGTATATTGCGGTATATTTCCCAGAGTCTGTCGGTATATTGTATCGATAAATCCGCGGTCACGCTGAGGCAAAATCAAAGATTCGGAAAACTAAACTATTTGTTTCGATTAAACCTTTATTTATCAATAATTAAATGAAAAATAGTTCCCAAAAACAGATTGGAAATTGATTAATGTATCGTGGAAAACTATTTTGCCAGTGCTTAGGGCTCCACCTAGCTTTTATTCGCAAGTCGAACATCAAAATCGAGGAAATCACGGAAGGCTGCGCTGCCAGCGTCGCTGCCGTCCAGTGACAGCTGGCCTAGCATACAAACAACTAAACTGTAAAGTCAGGCAAACGCGAGTAGATTAAATAAAAACAAATTAAAAACTCGATAAAACGCAGAGAACGGCCCAACAAAGCCGCCAAAAAAGTGAAATAGACAACACCCAACGTTTGGGCAAAAAACAATCAAAGCAATCGCCGTGGTAGCAGCAGGTAGGCAGGCAGAAAAGCAAAGTTTCCCTGTAAAGGCGAATAGAATATCTGGTAAACGAAAGAAGAAACTGCAAATGCATAAATTAACCAAGCGTAACCACATCTGAAAGTGTGTGACAAGTTATAACAATTGAACAAGCGTGCACAAGGAAAAAACTTGTTGCTGTTCTGCCATATCGAAAACGTTCGTTTCGACCATTTATTGATTTTGTTTTTCCGTTCGATGTTGTTATCAGCAGGGGGATCCATTCCATCCCATCCCGCCCCCCTCTGATGGCATACTGTACAATTTACTACCAAAACAATTGAAGCCAATTGAGATGTGATTCGAGTGGTATTCTTTTCGTCACTGATCTCTCCTGATTTATTTATATTGCAGCTATTTATTTGAATAGCAAACCAATTAGCTTCGCATTATTGCTCAGACACCTGGAGAGCAGACGCTAATTGAGTGATTGGCCTGTTAATCGAATTGTTCCTCTTTTGCGTTGATTGATTGCTCAAGTGTGTTACCGTTAGCATATAATTCATTCACGCCTCAAACTTACCCACCCACCAGCGCACACAAAATCAATAAATGCAATTCCTTTGGAGCTGCCATTAACCTCCCGCCCATTTCCATTTCAGCTGCAATGACCACCACATCGTCCTTCTGCTTGGAAGCCAAAATATAGAGACGCCTGGAGCGAAGCCCATTTGATAATTTTGGAACGAGGATAGCAGCTGCGTGAAAACGTCGCAAAATGAAACTGAAAAGCTGGCGGCACAAGCGTAAATAGTTATTAGCATTTAGATAACCAATTGGAGGCGAAATCCAGGCCGACAAACAACATCATATGAACGTTTGCGAACCCCTCGAAAAGTTAAGTCATATACCAATCATGCTGGGACGCACACAGAAGCTCATACTGGGCATAACAATACTGGTACTAGTCGATATCGTCTGGGTCTCCTCCAGCGAGCTAACCAAGGTATCCGTCCCGAACCATCTGCAGTCTTCATATTGATTTTGATTCGTTTATTCCATAGTTTCTGTACAAGGAGGCCAAGTTCGATAAGCCCTTCTTCTGCACATATTTCAAAACGTCAATGTTTAGCATTTATCTGCTGGTTATAGGAATCTTGGCGCCATGGAAAGAATCGTGCGAGCGCCAAAATGGAACCTACGCTGTAAGTATTCAAAAGGCAATTTTTTATTTCACTCCTAAACCCTGTCTCCTGCAGATGATGGAGCAGAATGCCGAGGATGAGAACTACTACACCAATCAGGCTGGCTTGGTAAGCCCAGTGCGAATACAATTAATTACGAAACGTATATAAAACTTTGCTCTTTCGCAGGGAGATCCTACCTATGTGCCCATCAGATCGGCTCACCTGGCATCGACGGCCAATGCCAGCGGTAACACACTGTCCGGCACTGAGAGCGACGATTCCAGTGTGCGCAGTGTTCGCTTCAGCAAGATGGCAGAGGTCCGTGAAATGTCCGCACATGAGGCCACCGATGCACTGCTCGCGCGCCTCTCCTACGCGGCGAGCTTGCGCATCAGGCGGCAGAAGACCCATCACAAGACAGCCAAGACGGCGTTGCTCTTCTGTCTGCTTTGGTTTGTGGCCAACTACTTCTTTCAGCTGGCCCTGGAAATGGATGAGACTGCCATGATAACACTTGTCAGCTCTACGTCGTCGTTCTTTATCATCTGTCTGGCCGCGGTCTTTCCCTCGGCAACAGGTGACAAGTTGACCATTACCAAGGTGATTGCTGTCGGCATGAACATTGGAGGAGTTGTGGCCATAACAATGAACGATCTGCACGACACAAAGATGACAAGGGGTGTCCTCTTGGCCCTGTTCAGCGCCTTCTTCTACGCCTCGTACCTGGTGTTCGTCAAACGAAAAAGTGATACTGAGGAAAAGGTCGATATACCTTTGTTTTTCGGTAAGCTGATGCCTACTTCAAATAAACTCTGTTATCTGTTATCTCCTGCTCCTGATAACTAACTGGTATCGTTCTTGTAGGGTTTGTTGGCCTCTGGAACCTCATGCTGTTGTGGCCGATATTCTTCATTTTGCATTTCACCAAGATCGAAACCTTTGAAGTGCCCAATCAGGGGCAATTGGCATTGCTATTTCTGAACGGATTAATAGGAACCGTGCTAGCGGAGGCATTATGGCTGTGGGGCTGCTTTCTCACCTCCTCGCTGATTGGCACTCTGGCCATGTCGCTGCAGATTCCCTTGGCCATTGTATTCGATGTTATGCTGAAGCATGAGCCGTATTCGCGCACATTTTATATGGGTTCAATACCCATATTTCTGGCCCTGACACTCGTTGCGCTGCTGATGCGTAACGATGATACCGATCCGCTTACGAAACTGTTCAAAATTGTATATAGAAAAGTCTGTCGTTGCCATAAGCCGAACATTGTTAGGTGAGTCCTCCGAGCAGCATTTTAAAGGACGCCAGCTTAACTGTATTTTTATTCTACAGAGTCAATGACGATGAGCAGCAGGAGTCGCTGATTAGCAACAGCGATTAAAGCGACGGTGGATGGAAGCTTTTTTGGAAAAATAGCTGTCCTGCATACATGGAATGTTGCTCATTGTAATGCAATCTAAAACTTGGCTGTTCACGAGTTCGTTTCGAATCGTTCTTTAATCTATAGGGACAACATGATGCACAACGTATTTTCCTATCTCACCTATCCATTGCGTTATTCTCGCTTGTGCATTTTCTGTTGGATATTATGTTGCAATTTTACGTACAACTATTTATTACCATGTATCTTACAAGTGTATTCTCTGTAAATAGCTTTAGCAATTACCTTTAGTGTTATTCTATGTGATAGTCCAGAATGTTTTGCTGAACCCATCTATAATTTATTGTATTCAGCTGATATTCCCTACTGCGCTTGGCTGTATAATTGTTGACTTCTCCGATAAAAAAAGCGTATTAGCATTAGGTACACATTCTTCTACAGTAAGCTTATAAAACCAGAAAAGAAAATTATGTGAAATTATGCCTATTATAAATATACATACCTTCATAATACCTATATGTACATGAGATTTATTTGGTTTACATTCATATATCTAAAAAATGCGCCTCCTGTCTGGGATTGTTTACACACACTTTTGATTCCAGGACTTTAGGGATAATGCCATTATAACGTTATTTGCGAATAAAGTCGGTATTTCGGTATTATTTCGGAGTGTTACAGTATATTGATCAGTTTCCGGTATTTACAGTAAATAAAAAAACCAATGGTCTTTTGCTTCATTCTGGCACTAACCAAATAGTATAGTATAGTATTATATACTATACTTCTATATATTCTGGATATTATAATGAATCGATGAAATGGTAGATTGTTCTTTATCATTCTCTATGATTCTCCTTATTCTAATATATAATACAAGTATTTGAAGAATACAAAAAATACTTTTTTCCCAAACGTAAATTTTTTGGTATATTTTTGAGGGTCAGACGACGGTCACACTGCTGCTATATATGACAAGTAAGATAAAAAAATAAATAAGTAGAATTTTGCGAATGATTTTTACCGAAACCTGCTCCCCGAAAGATGATAGCAATGGATGAGCAGCGCAGCGACAAAATCTATGGCGGATGCGAGGGTCCGGACGCCATGTATGTCAAGCTAATTTCCTCGGACGGCCATGAATTTATTGTGAAACGGGAACACGCTCTCACCTCTGGCACTATCAAGGCGATGTTATCCGGCCCAGGACAATTTGCCGAGAACGAGGCTAATGAGGTGCACTTTCGGGAGATTCCGTAAGTTCAATCTAAGCTGCAATTTTCGGCTAGCAACTGCGGACTATCTGGGGCCGCATAACCCACTCTGACCTATTGACCGGCGGCGACTTTGCACAATACATACACACTTAAGTACATATAAACATGCATGCCTGTATGTACATAAGTCGTAAAACACACTGCGCTAGAAAAAAATGCATAATGTATTCAAATGCATATATTTTCACAAGATTTGATGACATTAGTGATGCTGGGATCACCATTGATCCACACAGTTAACATTTGTGCCGATTAAACCACCGACTGTGCTGATGTCCATGTTGCTTCTTTTCAGGTCGCACGTCTTACAAAAGGTCTGCATGTACTTCACTTACAAAGTACGCTACACCAATAGTTCCACTGAAATACCCGAGTTTCCAATTGCACCAGAGATCGCATTAGAACTTTTGATGGCGGCTAACTTCCTAGACTGCTAAATTATTGGTTAACTTTATATACTTTATTATCAATTAAACAAGGAGGAAGCAAACTTGAATAAAGCCTAATTTTTGCCTGTGTTAATTTGTAATGAACCAAGATGATTGTCTCTGTAGGCGTGAAGAAAAATAAAATTCTGTTAATTTCCTAGACGACAATAATGTTTGTTTCCAAATAATGATTTTATTGAACTCAAGAAACATTAACGGGGAATGAGACTCATTTGGTATTCTTGGACTTTGCTTTCGAGGCGTCCTTGTTGCTTAGCATTGCGAAACGCATTTGCTGAACCAGCCACTGGACACCTTCGCCGAGGCCCTCGCCGGATATGGCATTGCTGGAGCAGATGTGCCAGGGTTTCTCCTTGATGTTCTCCAAACTGAGTGCTAAAATGTTATTGAAGTTATTTATTGACAACTATTGTGATATGTAAATTCTGTTGGGAGCACCTGCTGCTATTTTGACGCTGGATAGGGAGTCCTCTGCGTCCGATTTGTTGCCATAAAAGAGAATGGGAACAATCCGATTGCACAAATGGGGATGCTGTAGCACCAGGTCCAACTCATCTTTGACCACAACTAAAATTGATGGGATAGCTGAGCAACTGGCGGTGGTGGAATCAATAAGAATTCATGGACAGTTACCGAATCTCATGCGATCACTGGAGTCAATAACGTATATTATTCCGTGGCAGTTCTTAAACTGATGCTCCCAAAGGTTTCTGTAGCGTGTGGCACCCGACATATCGATCGCCTTGATGCTAACTCCTGCCATGCCTGTTCAAGAACGATAGATATTGATGGATTATACGCCTTGTATTGGATATGCCATCGCACTGGAATACAAAACTTACTGTAAAACTGCTCCACCATAAATCCCACTGTAGGCACCATAATGGCCGACTGGTCACCCGGCTTCTTAAAGTGGTTGATTATCGTCGACTTGCCACTGTTGTTCAGGCCCAGCACTAGGATCGTCATTTTGTCTTTTTTTATCTTTATCAAATCGGCCAAATTGTGCAACATTCCCATTTTTTCTGCTTTACTGGCATCCGCCGCAATTTGTTTATAAGATTCACGGCGAGGGTGATGGTTCTGACATGTTTGGCCCTGCAAAGAACTTTGGATTGCCATGGCAACAATATCCTCAGTGTGAAGGCATCGATTTATTGGCAGTTTCGGTTGCCTTCAACTTTAGCACCTACTACTACTACTACTACCATGCCTATGGCCAAGCAGTTTCAAGTTCACCTCCTGCCTGACTTTGGACAACATTCCCACGCTCTCAGCCACCCACACCCAACCCTCAAAGGGGATGGGGCAAATTGAACACTGCTCGCTCGAGTATAGTTTGTACATGCAGATTATCAAGCTATTTCTTTGTAGACTATTTTCTGCTCTCAATCTGAATCATAATTTATATAAAACATGAATTACGTTTAGACAGAATCCAAGGTTTATTGTAGAATTCATCTTAAAAAAACATTGTTACGATTAGAGCTTCTACTGTTTCTTGCTGTTCAGAATGATGCCATCGTATTTCTGCTGGAACCATTTCATGGCATCCTCCTTTGTCAGGCGGTGGGGGAAGCCCACAGTGCCGGACTTGCGCTTCCTGTGGTTCACATTGTAGCCTGAAACGGAAAGAGCAAAACGTTAGTAACAGGCAAACAAGGTTTTGGGCTAATTCAAATAATGTGGAAATTGCACCGTGTGGATTCGCATTAGGGCAGATCCCTTTGAGCACATCTTCATTTCTTTGCGCACATTTACTGAGTATCAATGCCTAGTCTGGCAGAGATACCTAATTAAGTGCACATTCGCTTGAGGGCGAGACCTATCTCTTGCTTACCTGGACGGCCCAGTACGACGTAGAAGTCCAGACCATAGATGCCGATAGAGGGATCGTACTTGATACCCAAATCGATGTGTTCCTGGATTCCGAAACCGAAGTTGCCGGTGGAGGAGAAGTTGTCGCGTCTCAGCTCGTACTCGCGCACCTTCAGACCACGCTCCAAAATCTCTTCAGCCTTGGCACCGCGCACGGTGCAGTGGACAGCGATCTTCTCATTACGACGAATGCCAAAGGAACGCACTGTGTAGCGGGCCTTGGAGAACACTGGCTGCTGACCAGTCAGCTGCTCCAGCACCTGTGTTTGAAGACAGTTTTTAGTTTACTTCAACTGACAACAGCCTTTGTGTACACAAATTAATAGTTACCTTGGCGGCACGGGTCAGCCTATCACCGGATTCACCAACGCAGATGTTCAAGCACAGCTTCCTGATGTGCAGATCCCGCATCGGGTTCTTCGCCGGGTCGCGCTTAATTTTAGGTTCCTTCTTAGCAACGGCCTGGAAACAATCAATGAATTCTGTTACTTGGGAGCCATATTCGCGTTAAATATAACTTCGGGTGGCACATCACAGGCGTCCACATAGTTTTGACAGTTCTACTTTTCACAAATATTATTAAATAATGGCCGATGGGGCGCAATTTATACGCCACCAAAAATTTGTATAAACCTACCGCCATTATGGTATGTAGGAAAGAAAGGAAAGAAGCGTGTTACAGTTCAGTGTCATCTAGAGACACACGAGAGGTGCAAAACCATCGATATAACAATCGATAAGATCGTGGGGTCTTTCGATTTTTTTCCACAGCAAATTGTTCAAAATTTCCATCGATTCGACGAGCTTGGTCACAATTTTGGACTTATTTAACAATAACAATCAATTAAGTTCTTAACAATAATATGCAATAAGTGGAAGCGTAATATTTTCAGAACATATTTTTTACAATCTGAGTAGTACCACTATTATATTTGGGAGTACCATACAATAGATAGAAGATATATATAGATAGAAGTATTCCAGCTTTGTAGCCCTGAAAAACTATCACAAAATAGATTTGATATATATTGACAAAAAAAAATATATCGATATTTTAAAATAAATAACACCAACGTAAAAAGAAAATGCTGAACGCGAAAATTGGTAAAGTTGGCAAAGTGTTGGTATGTGGCATGAAAGGCGTAGGGAAGACAACAGTTATTGAGCAGTTGGTGTATGGGAACCTAAATGCGGACACAGTGAGTAAACCAAAGGAGATTTATCCCCGCTTAAGTGGGGCAGTAGCTAGCTTTCCAATAGCTCTACGAAGAGGGCTGCATACAAACAATTCACAGCACAAACAAACGTACACAAAAACATCGTCACGAATTGCCCAGTGGGCCACTTCTGGTAAGCAGAACTGGCGCTGTGGGATGAACCAGATGCAATGTTACGGTGCCCAAATGAACAACTCATGGTTTCTTAAAAGGGCAGGAGATCATGGAAGTCGATATCCGCTAAGGAGTTTGTAACAACTCACCTGCCGAAGCAACCAGCCCTTAAAATGGTTCATTATCAGTTCATTATCAACAGTTCAGCCACAAAGTAAACATCTTATTTTGTTGTGTAAAAGTAAAGTAAAAGAAATTTGAAAATTTAAACACAAAAACCAGAATGGCAACAATACATTTCTTGATAAATTTGTCATCAACTCGATAAGCCGTGCTCTCAGCTGTACCGGTGCACTGGTTCTACGCGCGACTGGACTACGCCCAAGGAATATTCTGATGCCCCTACAGGAGATGGTAGAGCCGGTGGTGCCGCTGGCCAGCGGGTTGCTGGGTAACTCCCTACGGCAAATGCTCCGCACTCCATGCAAGAGTTGGTGTCTGGCTGCGATGTCGGCCGCCTCGACCTTGCTCATGCTTGGTGTCGTATACCAAACATGGAGCAGGTGTCGGCCAAGAAGTATGCGGAATGGGCCATTCAGCTGCACTTCGTCAACTCCTGTGCAAGGATACTAATGAATGCAATGAATCCCGCATTGACGGTCACCCTATTGATATCCGGATCGTTCCTATTTTGCGGATCGATGTACTGCCGTGCTCTAGCCGGAGAGTGCCGTGTGAGATCCACTAGCAAGACTGGATTTAAATTCATTATTGCCAGCTGGATTTTACCGTTTTCTTTTTTTGGTATTTAACCGCTACTTAACTTTTTTTTTTTTAATTTTTTTTTTCTTGTAACTTAATTTTGTTTAAAAATACTTTTTTTCCGGGAGCGATGTTATCCGGTTGAGCACCCGGAAAGTTATGGATTTTGCTGTTCATTTAGACTACGAACACACAATAATTCATTTGGCTGGAGTCAAACAGCATACTTAGTAGACATAGCACAAACAGAATTTCAAAGAAAAACGGAAATTTTCAGACAGAAACTTACAAAAGTTGCACACAAAATGAAACGTAGGTCGCAACATGAAGCAATTTTACAAGGAGGTCTCGTCGGCAAAATTCCTTTCCTAACAATGCTGTCAATAAGTGCGAGTGAAAGTGCTCTGCGCTGTAAGTGTGAGTGAAACAACAATTTGTGCTAATTAACCCTTTGCTGGCATGGGGCTTAAAATTGTCCATTGCAACAAAAGGAGTTGAAGATTTTTCCATGTCCGTCCGTCCGTCCTTATGAGCGCCTGGATCTCAGAGACTATAAAAGCTAGAGCCACCAGACTTCTGTATGCTCACACTGTTACAAGTCTATTTAAAATATAAGCTACAATTTTGAAGATCAAAGAAAACTAAAAACGCCATTCCGTAGGGAAGGACCATATCTATCTAGCGCATAGATGACCAAATTGGGATACGATTGAACCATTATTTTAGCCGGAATGAAGAAATTATTTTACGGTGGCTAAACCCACCCCGTCCCGTAGCTTATATTTGTTTTTTCACATTCCCTCATTCACACTCTGCTTCGCGCAGTGTGCCGCAGCTGCATCTGCCCATGAAGTAACTATAAGAAGGCCTCGTCGGTGGCAGAGTTACTCATTGCTTTTCCTAATTTTCAATGCTCGTTTGCTTGTGGACGCAAAAGGTTGGTTGCGGAAAAATTTTTTTGTTCATATATTTTTAAATTGTTTATTTTTTCTAAACACAAAACTACTATTATGTAGCAAACTATTTCACAAACTTTTTCACATTGCCTTGATTGAAATGATTAATCAGCACACTCCATTTTCGTTGCCCTCACACTTGCAGCGAGAGCCCTTTCACTCGCACTTTTCACTCGCACGTTTGCCTAATTTTTGCCGACGAGACCTCCTTATATAGTTTCTTCATGCATCTGCCTCGTCTCTGCCTCTGCCATGACTCTTCAGCGTTTGGCTCTAGAAAAGGGGGGCGAGCGAAAGGAGCGTGTTGGCGTAAGAAGTGTTGTAGATTTAGATGACAGATAAAGAAAAAATGTAACATTGAACACATAACCTCTAAGGTACAGTTTTGCCGCGTAAGAAGCGTCTCATCATATCATATCATATTGTGCTTAGTGAAGGGTTAATATGTATGTACATATATGCTAACACAAATTTTTCCTCGCCCAACCATCAGAGTCGACAAAAACAAACCCTGAATTCTAAGGAAATTAACAATCTGTAGCAACACTCACACAGATCAGCACGAGCATGTGCACGATCACGATTAAGAACATGCATACGAACCAGTGCACCTGTATAGCTGAGAGCCCGGCTTTTCGGATTCTAGATGACAACGAAATTTCGCGTTGCCATTCTGCCCCGCTGGAGACATTAACATATTGCCTTTTAATTTGAATTTAAACAATACTTAATTTTTCTTCAGGAACTACATCCTACCATTGAAGACATCTATGTGGCTAGTGTCGACACGGGTCGTGGGGCTCGGGAGACGTTACGCATCTACGACACGGCTGGACTGCAAGGCGAGCAGGCTGCCCAATTGCCACGCCACTACTTACAGTTCCCCGATGCATTCGTATTGGTCTACGATCCCATCGATCCACGAAGCTTAGATATGCTGGCTGACATCAAGACAGACATTGATAAGCATAAGGAAAAGAAGGAAATCCCCGTTATTGTACTGGCCAATGTGAGGGCCCGGGCTAAAAGGGACACGCCACCAGCAATGCCCAATCCCGTCGAAAAGATTATGGATAGGGCAAACATCTGGTGCCAACGGGAGCGCATCAAACACTACACAGTCAATGGCATGGAACGACCGTCATTGTACGAGCCATTCACGTCTCTGTGTGCTCGCCTTCATCCAGCACCGACGAAAAGCACGTTCCCGCAACTGCGGCAGGTCATGCAGAATCGACAAAAGAGCGAGGCGTAACCGTAGCCTTCATCTATATTAAGCCTTAGTCCTCAAACTTCTAACTAATGGATACGGGGGTACTATTTATGTCTTTATTTATCTACTCTACTGTTTACTTGTTTTGTATTCACTGTCGTGCTTTAATGTGGGTGCAAGCCCTGCTTAGATGTTCTCATATTTATGTTTTGTGAGTGTCCAATTAAATATTTAGTATTTATTACAAAGATCCCAAGTAGGAATGTATGTGGGATGAACCAAACGCAGTGTTACCGTGCCCAAATTAACAACTCATGCAGAAACCATGAAAGGCGTTGGTTGCTTAAAACAGCAGGACGGTGATCCTGTAATTCGAAATCCGCTAGGGAGTGTGTAACATTACCGCTAAAGTATATGGTTAGGATTACTTGTGATATACATTTTGAAACTTATGTGAGTAGGAAGGTACAATGGTAAGAGTGGAAGTGTTTCGCGTAAGCCTGCATGGAGTTGCCATTGGCACAGATCATGGTGCAGTAGCTTAGTAGAGGACTGAAGGGGAGAAGGGTGAACAGTGGTTGATCACTATCACTTACCATACAGTATACTAGACCGGACCAACGAAGCAAGCGAAACGTAACTGGGGCCTCTGGGACTTCACCACGCACACTGAGCGGTGTCGTTTCGCTTGCTTCGAGTGTCCGGTCTAGTATGCTTTATGGTTAGTGTCACGAGTTAGTCGGCCCTAAGTTCAGTGTCAACAGTTCAGCCACACAGTAAACATCAAATTATTTTGTCGAGTAAAAGTAAAGTAAAATAAATTTGAAAATTTAAACACACAAAAAAATCAGAATGTTAACAATAAATTTCTTTGATAAATTTGTCATCGACAATTCGATAAGCCGTGCTCTCAGCTATACGCCCAAGGAATATTCTGATGGATTCCAGGAGATGGTAGAGCCGGTGGTGCCGCTGGCCAGCGCGTTGCTGGGCAACTCCCTCCAGAAAATGCTCCGCACTCCGTGCAAGTGTTCGTGTCTGGCTGGGATGTCGGCCGCCTCGACCTTGCTCATGCTTGGTGTCGTATACCAATCATGGAGCAGGTGTCGGCCAAGAAGTATGCCGAATGGGCCATCCAGCTGCACTTCGTCAACTCCTGTGCAGGGATGCTAATGAATGAAATGAATCCCGCAGTGACGGGCACCCTATTGATATCCGGAACGTTCCTGTCTTGCGGATCCATGGACTGTCGTGCTCTAGCCGGAGAGTGCCGTGTGAGATCCACTGGCAACACTTGCCAGCTGGATTTTGTTGTTAATTTAGGCTCATTCCAAGGACTACTACACCAAACAATTCATTTAGCTGGAGTCAAAAAGCATACTTATTACTAGTAGAGACATAGCACAAACAGAATTTCAAATATAAATGGAAATTTTCGGTTGTTGTGTTGTCTTGTATTCATTGTCGTGCTTTAATGTTGGCCCAAGCCCTGCCTGTCTTTATTAAAAAGATCCCAGTAGTAATTTACTTACCAAAGTGGAAGAAAACCATTAGGAATCAGCACTTGTGGTGCGAGAAATTCGAATTAAAACTCCATAATTTACTTCATTACATTTTCATTTTTATCAAACATCTTACAGCTTATTCTTACAACTAAACAATTTGTCCTAAAATAGCAAGATCTTACCAAGCTCTACAATGGCTAAGACCAACGCAGTTGGTACTTAAGCTTCCTCAAATGAATGCGCGTTTTGAAGACAACATCCCACAGAGGACTGCTGATACCATATCCAAGGTCCTGATGCGTAAAATGGTGCTGGTAATGATATCGTTTCATATGGACAATATGCCTGAAAGACGGATTGCCATAGTGTAGGTAATAGTGCATCATGTCGTAGCACAGATAGCCGGCGAGGGCACCTGACAGCACAATTCGCGGTTGGATGAGGAAATAACTTAGTGGAGTGTAAATAAGCATGGCAAGGAATGCTCCTGGTAGTGGGGGAAACACGAGGCGCATGGGGTCAAAAGGTACTTTGTGATGCAGTCCATGGATCATGAAGTGAAAAGTGCATATCCAGGGTCCACTGTTGCTCTTCAGTTTAATGTGAAACACCCAACGATGTAGAGTGTACTCCAGAAATGTCCACAGGAGCACGCCAAACAAAAAGTAGCCAATGAAAAGTGCAAGCTGGAATATTAGTGATTAGGATATTGTCATGAATTGCTGTACAGCCATATGCTAACCTGACTCTTGTCTTGCCAACTGCTGTAAATATCCTCCCACGCACACCACATGATGACAGGAATCCAGAATGTGGGCACCAGCCACCAAGGCGTCTTGGTCAACATTTCCAAATACCATGGGCCGAAGAGCCTTAGCGGCCTGTCTACTGGCTTGTGCACCCACTCATCGTAGCATGTCGTTATGTTGGCTATTTGCGGCAGCATGGCCTTTGACCAGTCCACCAAGTGCTGAAATAGTTTGCAAGTGTTTTTGAATACTGAAAGTGCGGGAAATGTGTGGTGTATTAAAGGGTGGCAGCACTGCATATATCTTACTATCTTTCCTGGCTTGACACTTCGATAGTTGCTATCGAATATCAAACAAAACATTCAAAGCAGGCTGACCATATAAGGTATAATATATATTTTTCAGGATATTTTGACTACAAAATTGAGTTCATTGTACCTTTAATATTTATCGGTCCATAATGGTATATTCAATGAAGTTCGTCCATCTCCTAAATTAATTTGCTTAGGTATATTCGGTAGTAAATGATATCAAAACTCCCATAAGCATGTTTTTCAAATGTCCCTCGAGGAGTTTCTTTCTTTTCCGTATGGAATTTTCCCTTTGTCTCAATGTTAAAACAAGTCAATCTGTGCTGGAGATCTATCTCAACGAAATTTCCAGATTATGATAAGTACATTTACGGTGTATTTTTAAAATGGGAAGGTACATTTAGGTATATTTTTGAGGGATTTGCGGTATACTCTATCGATAATTCCGCCGTCACGCAATTCAAAGACGCAGTTCAGCTCGACTTATTTTTTTATTTCTTAATAAATATAATAGAACACAACTTAGTTTACTTAAACAGTCTTTGGATCATGTCAAATACATCAGTTCGCCCTATACCCACGCTGAAAGGAATTTTTTCAGTGCCGCGTAAGATTTTTCTGGAAATTTTCACGGTCATGGCAACCGTGGTACATTTTGTTTTGGGTTTTATATTGTGTCTTCTTTTCTGAATGCAGGTGCTACTCAGGGCCGCAACTTTCTCAAGGAAAATAAAGTGAGCTTGCGCTCGCTAGAGAAAACAACAAGTGAAAAAATGGCAGCCAAGGAACCAGTGCGTCCCAAATGGATGCCACCTATGCGCCGCGCAGGCTCCGAGGTACGAGAATCGAAAGCAGGCCGGCCTCCGGTAACCAGACAAAACACTCAGGAAACCAGTCTAACACGCAACCGGAACAACTCGCGTTCGCATCACCAATTGGGCGCATGTGCTTCAGAGTCTGGCGAACGTTTTGAAGGCTTGGAAGAGCGCAGTCCTCTCTTCTATGCCCCGTCGGTGGAGGCATCACAGTCGCCGGACAATTACTCAGAACGATGCAATTCTTGCGGCACCCAGCGCAGCTCCACAAGCATTGCCATACAGACGGAGGACATTACCGATGAACTATACCTGACAAATGCATTGAAAAAGTAAGAAGAGACAGGAGCAGCAATACACACGCTAACGTACCATGTTTTTGCTTTTTCTAGATGCAGTATTGATGGATCTATGATGGGTGAACCCTCCAATAAATACGACAACGGCTACAGACGTTCCAATCGGTACGATAACAACGAAGAGGAGGATCTGCTGTCACCTCGCACAAATGGCAAACAGCAGAATCGCTTCAACGTGAATGAGTTTAACACAATGCTCTTGGCCCCAGATGATGGTGTAAAAACTGAAGTCACTTCAGATGAGGAGGCTCCGCTCAGTGCCCGCAGCCGCTATACAGTGGCCACAGTGGAATCAAATGCGTCCATAACATCGAAACGCCGCGAGCACAAGCTGGGCTGTGAGTATATATGAAGGAACACGTGGTTCGTTCGTTGCTTAAGCTTTGTTTTTCAACAGCACGCGATGAGTTGCGTCTTCCGCGGTATCTGGAGAAGGAGAAGCGCGAAAAGGCCGCTGCCAAGGAGCTTGCCGATGCACGCGATCCGGACTGCCCACGCGGTCATATTCTGCTCCCGGAGCAGGAACGTGTCGACCACTTGCACAGCGCACAGAAGCGTAAGTCTTACAAATGATTTCTTAATTTTGAACTTCTAAAAAATTTGGTTTGCTTGACAGGCTACGATGGTCTCATCAGTGAGTTGAATCACTTGCCCATGACCGCACAGACTCTGCGGGTGCGCAACCGCAAGTCCGAAATCGACAAGGAGCTGGCTGTCGTAGATGAGAAGATACGCGTCTACTCCAAGCCCAAGGTGTACATTAGTTCTAGCAAATGTACCTAATTCCGACTGAAAACAACTGACTGCTAGTGCCATGAATACTCCAAAAACTATGAACTATGACATGTGCCTTAAGAAGTCTTTTATGAAATGTAATCTAGTCTTGTGTTAACCAAAATTTAAGATAAGTTATGAGCCCTAGTAAAGAAAACAACGGTTTGACCTTAACGAGAAGGGACGTGTGAGACGCTTCTTACGCGTCACAACTTTTATACCCGGCACTCAGGACTACATCTAGATGTAGAAGACATCGCCAACCACTAGATATCGTTCACATTACAGAACACGTAGTAAAAGCCTACTAAATAAAATGCATCAAACAAATTGGATCAGTTAATATTTTCCAATTTATGAGATATTTAAGACAGCAATAACATTGGTACATTCTTGGACCGATAGGTTTCACAGCAAATTTTTCGAAAGTGGCGCCATCTATGAAAATTTCTTGTTAGCAACTTTGATGGTCCAATGATCTGCACATTCTGTGCAATAATGACCGATAGGTTTCACAGCAAATTTTTCGAAAGTGGCGCCATCTAGGGTTAAAAACTGCGTCTTGGTTAAAAGTCGGAAGAGTCAACGCCAGAGAGAGGGCAGAGTCAGGGGCCGAGTGAAGCATAAGCAGAGTGTGAATGAGAGAATGTTAAAAGAGCAACAAAAGCTGCGGGACAGGGTGAGTTTAGCCACTGGAAATTAATTTCTCCATTGTGGCTATAATAATGATCCGATCGGATCCCAATTTGGTGATCTGAAAGATATGGCCATTTCCTACGGAAAGTTTAGTTTTCTTTTATCTTCAAAACTGTAGATTTGGGAGGTTTTCGCCCTTTTGTGGGGGCGGAAGGGGGCGTGGCTTGGTTTCAGTGTGAGCATATAGCAGTCTGGATGCAACATTTGGTGGCTCTAGCTCTTATAGTCTCTGAGAACTAGCCGACAAACAAGACGGACAGACGAACAGACAGACAGACAGACATGGCTCTATCGACTCGGCTATTGATGCTGATCAAGAATATATATACTTTATGGGGTCGGAAACGCTTCCTTCTGTGCGTTACATACAACCGTTATTCGCACTATTTACTCTTTGAGTACCGGGTATAAAAACTAAAAACTAAAAATAGAACTCACCTCCATGCTCTCATCCAACTGATTGTTGTTTTTGTCTTCGGGCTCCCTCGGCTGATGCTGCTCTTGCTCCTGTGAGTCCTGGCCATTGTCTACTCTTCGAGCCTGATGTCGAGCCTTGGTTTTGGGTACACGAGTGTCCTCCGGTTTTACTTTGTACTCCTTCATCAGATACATGGCCGCATCCGAGTGTGGTGGGGCCTTCATGAAGCGCGCCGTCATATCGGCCTGATTGAGGCCTTTAAGCGTGTTTATGCCACCTGGATGCTTGTGCATGAACTTGGACAAGTCATAGTACTCCTGGCGGTATTTCACGATAAACTCAGCCTCCGATCCCTGGGGCGTGTCCATTGCAATGGGGTTAAATTCGATTGGAACTGAAATGCAAAACGCGGTCAGACAAGACTACACTTTATGGCTCCCAATATTTGCACAGACTCCCAGCTTCCAGCTTAATAATTACTTTGCGTGCCATTGTAGAACACGTTACCATATTGTTGAACGACTTATCGGCTTCATCAGACACGTTTAAATTCATGTATTAAAATGTAGTTAGTTTCAGTAAATATTTATCCATGTTGTTTCCCTTTAATCTAAGCAAAAGCTTCTACTATATAAATGTTGGGGCATGGACTGCAGTTACAATAAAATATTTATGAAAATTGTTAGGTAAAGGATCTAATTGATGGCCTAGCTTCGACCATGAAGTCGAAAAGCAATTTGCAGGATACATATGCAGAGTGGGTAATCTATATATAATTAAATTGGCGCACTTAGAGCCGCCCGTGTGAACTTGGAATTCCTCAACTGAGGAGTGTGCCAGATGTTTCATTGCATTCCTCAGATTAGAGATGAGCGCAGCACTGAATTAAAACAGACATTTCCATTCTCCTTGCAATTCGCGATTTCTGTTTCTGTCTACGCGCCAAACTAAACGTAGCCATAACACTTCTTCCACTAGGTGTACCCTACATATATGAGTAAATAAATGTACATATGTATGTACATACTTATCATAATACTGATATCATATAGGGGTTGGGTCTATTGGTAAAGCTTGTAAATGCCTGGATTTGGTGTGAAGGAGGACGAGTTTGTCGGGTCGTTTGTCAAAGTCGGCCTGGGTAAGCCCACGGCAGGCACCCACGGACAGGTGTCCGTGCTGCACAGGTTGTCTGACTCAACCGATCGGCTCGGCCTGTGCGTCTGCGTTACCTTTGATTGAATAGCCAAAGTGTTATCTGACATGTATACAACATTGGCATTATCTAGCAGATGCCATATCTCCCTACGTTATTATGCTCTGCTCTGCTCTCAGCTCAGACCCTATTGAACGACAACAAACAATGAAACTCTACAAACTCATGTATACACTCATTTCATGTGCAGATTCATTAACTGAACTCTGATGTCCTGATGTTTCGACAGGTATGGGTATATGGGGGTATAACTTTGATGACTCTGTACTTGTGGTGGGTTTTGGTGGTTACCGGTCAAAGGGTGAGTCTCACTATCTTATCAGTGTTGTTCTAATCATTATAATAGTTATTGAACAGTTCCTTCTTGAGATAGGGTAACTATGCACTATTTACGTGTATTTCGCCACGGACCTGAACGGGATAAATAAATAGATAATACGCCAGAAGAGCCACAACTATTTGCAGAGTGTTTGTTCACTTAAAAGACTACTTCACCATTAGAGAATTATATATTTATTAAAGACACACCAGCTAAGTGGCCGGACGAGCTCCTTGAACAATGTGGGAACCCACGACCGCACGCAATGCAACGCAACTGACAACTAAACTACAGAGCCACCCACCCAGACCTAAGCCGACAGTGACACCGCTGCAGCGTGTACTCCGTTTGGTATTATTAGTACCACTATTGTGGTGTACGAGGTAACAATATAATTCTCCCTCTGCCAGAAGATAGCCGGGCCCGAGCGCCGCCGATAAGCGATAAGATTAGGTCTTCGGGACCAGCTAGTTAGTCCAGTTGAGTTCTCCCGGCCACATAAAGTGAAAGTGCGTTGGATGGTGTTGGCACACAACCGAAGAGTCTTATCTGGCGATTTGCAAGACATAACATATACAACAAATTTACTATCGCCTAGTGCTCCAAATTTCTGAATACATACCTGATGTGCTCGCATGTAGATTTTCGATGGCGACCGGCAGGTTAACTATTGTATTTGGGATGTCCTCCACCCGGAGGCTACCGCTTCGAAGCAGCTTCGTTATCTGTATTGGCAGAGCTATGCTAAAGGTAAATACCAAATGAATCACCATGGGCCAGGAACTTTGATTTCGGTTATTAGAAGTGACTCAACCCCAGAGGCAGAGAGAGATATGAAAGCAAATATCTTTCGATTTGTGTTGAGATAATCATGTCTACCATGTGTAGCGATCCCCCCGGGGAAAGCCAATCAATCCAACTCCAACCACCTCGCTGATTAAGGGAAACCGCAGATACAGAGCTATGGCTTCTGAATTTGACCCTAAACCGAGGCGCAGCCCAGTTTTGCTTCAGAACTAGGGAGACAAAAGGCAAATCTCCATTACAATATAGTTTTCACCACTGCCCTGACCCATTTAATCCGGATGAAATATTTCTTCGCACCATCTAAATTCCTTTTTTAATGGAAATACGCTGGTTCTCTCGCTAATTTATGAGTCCACTCGAGGTGTCGGGGCAGCATACTCGCCACACGCACACCTGGGAACGCCAAAGTGTCAGTCTGTGCCAACAGCTCGACGTTGAAGCGCCAAGGGCCAAGCCCAAGTCCAGCTGGCAAGGAATTCCATTTGGCTGGTTGCAGTGGCTGGACTTCTCCTTGATAGCTAATGGTCAAACGGTCAACTAATTACAATCCAATACGTTAAACATATCACTATCAATCAACCGAATGAAACCGTTCAGTATAATTTCATAATATCCCACTAGTGCATTATTGAGAAAGCAGAGTGACTGATGTTGGGGGAGTGACTGTCATTAGATGGTACAAACATTAATGCCATTTGAATATTCTTAGATATACATATGAAACCTGATAAACGTGCAGTGTAGTGCAGTACTATCTCGGGTTGGCTAAGAATCTACAATAAATAGTTGGGTGTAACGTTTGTACTATGAGTTCACATTTTCGCACAAAACTCGTACTTATCTAAAGTACATAGCTATTACTTCCAACAACAATACAATACGATACCAAAGATATAGATTCTTTAGTGACGCATACATTTGTTCACATTTGCTCGTAAGAAGCACCAAGACCTTAAAGATCCGAACGTATAGAGCAGGGCTGGGCACGGCCCTATATAAAGGGTATAGAACAGGGCGCTGCCGTCACGTACACGCGTATACAGTGATTCGTACCAATACCAATATAGTAAAATGTTCCGTTTTGCGTGCGTCTTCACACACAAACGCAAAAACGGCTTGTTAATTGTATGGGTGCCGAGCCCTGGTATAGAGTCATCGGTATGATTTTCTACATTAACGGATCTGCTCGTCTTATCAAAGAGTACAGGGTGTTACTACCAATTCCAATGCATACTTTCCGGCGGTTTCTTAGTTTTTATTTTCCGGATGCCTTCGGTGGCATTTATGGAATTTTCGACTAGTAAATATGATCCCTGATCGATGAACAAACTAGAGATTAAGTTCAAGAGTTTTCGAATTGCAATCGAGAGAACATAATGTATTGTAGCCACCACCGATTCCCATAATACCATACGATTCGATCGAAGCAGAGCGACGGAGACCGGACCTGTTGTTGGCAAGTTCAAATAATACATTGTAATACAAAATTACTTCGAAAGATTTATCAACTCCCTGCCCAGAACATTGCCTGAAGATCTTAACATTTACTTCCTATTACATTCCATTAATTACCGCCATGTACTTTGAAATTCTATATCGAAAATAAATACTTTTAATACTTTTTTCCGTCCTTTTATGCGCTTTCAACTTTAACCCGTTCGCTCTCTCTTGTGTAAATTCTGTATGGCTCCTGGTCCTGGGCTGAGTAGTCCTGCTGCAGAGCCGACACCAGTTTCGAGAGTACATCCTGGGCATGCAGTCACGTCCCTTCAGATCAGCGAAACGTCCAACAGTGAGCTTCTTGCAATGTTACTAAAACTGTTCTAAGCTGTGCAGTGGAGCTTAAACTGTAGGTCCGTCTCGGAATATTCCTGAATTGAATTGAATTATTGGAATATTTGGGCTTTATTCCGATAAGCCCGCTTTATTTTAATGTTTCCAGTATATTAATAGCTTAAAACTAAGTTGAAATGTATCCATCAAAAACCATATATATATTCAAAGTTATATACTTATCAACACACAAATCGTTTCAATGGGTGGGATGCGAATGGTGGCCCTTCAGTGGCCATTTCCGTTGGCGGCCACTTTGGTGCCATTGCTGTGTCCATTGGCGTGCAGCTTTCCACCATTGGCGGTGGACTCCACGGCACAGGGCTGGCCCAATAGCTTGGCCCGCTTTACGGGCGGCTCATTCGTGATGGTGGCAAAGTCGAACTGAAGAAAAAACCAAAATTCAGATGTAATATTTGTACTGGCAGGGAAACTCTTCAAGGATTCTGTGTGTACTCACGCGCTGTTCCAATGTCATGTGAGAAATTGGTGGCAGTCCGATGCAGCCGCGAAGGATGTTTTCAATGGCAGCTCGTTGGCGGAACAGCGAATTTACGACTTGGGATCCCTGGGGAACGAGGGGAGCCTTGCACAGATAGCTGAGCAGCGAAAGGACCGGCTTGAATGGCACCCACGGAGCAGACTCCTTCTCCGCACTGCGCAGTTGAATGCGTGTGCTCAGCTCGCCCAAAATGACCAGATCCAGAATGAGGGGTGTGGCCAGCAGCGAGTCCTCGCAAGTGTTGTGGATCACAAGAGTGTTGTGGCCACCCATCATGATCTCGGAAGTGTACTCGTCCATGGCCCGCTTGCTGTCACCCACATAGGGCAGGTATTTGATGACAACCACATGGTCGGGATGCTCGTTGGCGCCGTAGAGAAGCCTGTTGGAAGCCACCATATCGTCCACCACATTGCTCTTGGATATCTGCCGACGGGGGGGTGGAATATTGTTAGGATTGTGTGTGAACTGATCATCATCGACCTACCTCCTTGGAGCGGAACTGCTGGGGAGCAGACAAGTTCTTGCCGTCGTTATTGCCAAGGTGATTGTAGCTGGCAATGGACACGGGCTTGATGCCGGCACCAACCAGGAAGTCGACCAGCACACTCTTGATCTTGGTCTGGCCGGACTTGAAGTCGTCACCGGCAATGAAAACATTCTTCTCCTCCGCCAGCTGAATGAGACCCGGCACAAAGGTGTTTTGCGGCGATCCGTTGATGTAGGTGCACTGCCCGGGTATCAAAAAGATTGAATTAAAGGTCACATTTCGTGAACTAGGAGCAGGCAAAGACTGAAATACTTACACCCTCCGCTACGCTGGCCATGGCAAAGATCGTGGATGGCGACACCTCCGAATGGTTGGCCTTCAGAGAGGCAAGCAGCTCCTGGCTGGTGGTGTTCAGACCTGGCTGCACCTCAGAAAACCGCTCCGTGTTGGCCGTCCAGAGGACAATCACCGAGTCGACGCCGGTGCGCTGCTTAAAGTCGCGGATGTCGCGACGGATTTGCTCGTATTGCTCCTGTCTGGTGCCCTTGATGAGATTGTTGGCCCGATCCAACTGGTTGGCGGCGATAAAGTCCGGATCGTAGATCGATGGACGGGGCTTAAGTTTGGCCATCTGCTCGTACAGCTGGTCCTGCAGGGCCACATCTAGGACCTCGGCACGAACCATGGCGTCGGCCAGGTGCAGATTGCTAATGTCCCAGCCATCTACCACAATTTCGTTCGGCTCCACCATAGGCAGGAGCTCCTTCATGGGGACGAACACGTCGCTGCCCGTCTCATCCGACCCGATGAACACGGTCGAGGCTTGGGTGATGGAACCAAACCAGTTGGCCTGCTGCACGCCCGACCGCTTGCGCCACTTCAACTGGCGGCGGTTCGCCTCTAGGGCGGCGGTCAGAGTCGATCCGTTGTTGCCACCCCAGCCCACCAGCATCACGCCCAGCTTGGGCACCTGGCGACCAGTGCGTATCTTAAGGGCCGTAGTCTGGGGGTGTACCTGCAAAGATCAGACGACGGAATCGCTGATTAGTTTCTGGTCTACACCAAGCCCAGCCCGTTCAGCCCCACCAGGGGTCCCCAGACCAGCCACGTTATCTCTTGTTTTATCGGCCTGCCACCCAAGTCACGTCCCAGCATGAATTAATAATTATGCGATCGCCTGATTTCTGCTTACCGTTCGACGAACCGAACCTGATTTCGATACCGTTTACCGTTGCACAGCGGAGGAGTATACTGATTGTGCATATGATTGGGTTAGAATAATAATAAATATACAAAATAACAATGGAAGCTCTGTTAATTTGAGCAAATTAAGAGTGAAATTCCATTTTCCTGCCTAATTTTTTTTTTACTCTACTCTTATAAACATTAAAAATTCACATTTAAATAAAGAATCGGTATTTTAAAGCCCAAACATCAGAATTTTCATTTGTTGTTTCTTTATTTTATAAGACAACGCGATTTTTGATTTGAGCCAAAAATAAAATCGACAAAGAATACAGAACGAAGATTGCATTAATTATTTATCAACTTGTTCGTTCAAAGTCCGGGAAGAATTTTGTCAACTCACTTGCCGGCCGGCATAATTATCATTTGCTGGCGAAAGAGAAGAGGCGAAAGATGTATGTAGATATTCCCCAAGCAGCACGTGAAACTGTTGCTCTTTCTTGGGCAGCTAAGAGCAAAAGTTCCCCGAGC